CAATTACTCGCAAGGAGAAAGAAGGTGAATGTGGGAGGAAAATGCTCTCTGTTTTCCAAAGGATTTAAATCAGTCTGGTAAAATATGCTGAGGCTGAATCTGCTGGGATGCATTCAGCAAACGTGCTGAGCGCTCACTTGAAGGTACCAGAAAAAAAAAACAAGGGAATGCCGGGACATGAGAGGTGAAAATGTACCTGTTGATGATGGTGAAAAAATAAAAGTACACACTTAAATGCATTTTTCATATCCATTCCCAACATATTACCATTGGCTGCATGCAGGTCCTGCTCCTGCACATCCCCCCGGCTGCAGACCCGGAGGCAGCGGGAGCAAAGGCCGGAGCGCCCGTCCGCAGTCGCCGGATCCCACGGCCACGGAATTCGGGGGAAAGCTCCCGCCACCTTCAGCCAGAGCTGCACTTCAGCACAGCCCCCCCGGCTGCGGCACAGTCCCCCAGACCCCCCGGCTGTGGGGCAGAGCTGCACAGACCCCCAGCGCCTGCCGCAGCACCCCGCAACCAAAGCATCGTCACGCTGAGGATACTTGGGTCTTGTGTTTCAAGAGTTGTTTCCCATCAATTTCCTTCATTTTTATAAATCTAGTGCTCCTTCCGCACTTCCCCTCCCGCTTTCCATGAAGACACAGTCAGAAAACTTTATTTACAGGTATTTCTTAACAATAAAAACTCCATGCCATCAGCATGACCTTGTGCGTTACAGAGCAAGAAAACTGCATTGGTGTAAAAGACTAAATGCTATCTGTGCTAAACCCAGAGCAAAAGCTTGGCCTTGGGGGACTCAATGGGAGTTTTTCCGTTAAACCCCACGGAGTCCAGCTGCGATCCCACACATCTGCCTTCGGAGCAGCTTGTGAGCAGGCTCAGCAAACGGGTTATTGCACAGATCCCCGACCCTGCAGTCAGGCCCGCTCCCGTCCCCCGCTGACCCGCGTGCACAGCCTCACACAGCACACGGAGCCGAGCTGGGGAGGGATGCCCGGGCATCAGCATTGTCCCCCCGGGAGGCTTGTCTCCAGCCCTGTCCTCGCTCTGTGCCAGCAGTGTCACCGGTGGGTCTGGGCTGGGGGGAGCAGGGCTGGCATCGAGCAGGGATGGGGCCGCTCTGCCCCACAGCGCTTCAAGCGAAGCAAACAGACCCACGTTGAGAGCAGTGCCCGTGGCTCTGCCCCAGCCAGGTGTCGCCATCCCGCGGGATTCCTACTGCGGGAGGAAGGGGGGCCGGGGGGCTCCCCGCATGCCCGGGGTGGCCCCTGTCCCCCAGCGCGGCACCCAACGGGGCCGTAGCACACCTGCCCCAGCAGCCCCAGATTGTCTGGGGCATCTACAAGCTGCCAACGTCAGTGGCCTGGGGGCTCAGAAGCGGGTCCCCAACATCCCATCCCGGGCGGCACTGGCACTTGGCCCACAGAATTCCCCCCCCGGATGCCCACCTCAGTTAAATAACGACCGCTGCACATGCTTGCACGCGCACAGACATATATACACCGATTTACACAGAGCCCCCTCGCCAGCCCGAGTCCCAGCCTTTCCCAGGGAAGCGCTGGAGGCAGGGGGGCCGGCGGGGCACGCGGGGGCTTTTCCCGGCCGGCGATGCCCTCACGTCATGGACGGATGCGTGAAGCTCCTCTGGCTCGTGCTCTTGCAGCTGAGGACGAAGGAGGAGGAGTTGCTCTTCTTGCCCACGCTCAGGTCGCACGCCGGCCGCGACTTCAGGTAGCGCGTGGAGCAGCAGAGGAAGCGCCGCATCAGGTCGTGGAAGAGGTGCCCCGTGTACAGCATGTAGATCCAGGGGTTGCAGCAGCTGTTGAGGCTGGCCAGGAGCATGGCGATGATGAAGGGGGAGGCTGCAAGGCAGAAAGCATGGCAGTGTCATGGCACGGCGAGAACCACCGTGCTGGGGAGGCGGGCACGGGGCACACGCCAAGAGCCCCGAGCTCTGCCAGCACCACGCCACCTCCTCCCACGCCAGGGACAGGCTGCACTGCCCACAGGGACATCTCAGTTGGCACATCAGCAAAGAAGAGCTGGAGAATAAAAAGGGGGGAAGCGAGTCTGGGTTTAAGCAACTTGGGGTTAGGGTTTTTCCCCCAGAAGAGCTGCATTTCCCCCACTCAGCTCCTGCACTGCTGCCTGCCCGGCGTAACCCTCGAAATGCCTCACCAAGAGGCAGAGCTGCCCCCAGCATCGGCTGCACGATTTGCCTTTGTCGTGCCCAAAGCGGGGAGGAGGGAGCGCAGCCCCTTGGAGTTGCCATGGCAAAGAGCACGACCGGGAACAAAAAGAGCCGAGTGGCTCAGTTTCCCCACCAGTGGCCAATGCGGGGTGGACCAGTGCTTCCATCCGCTCGGGCTGTAGGGATGCCACAGCCCCTGCGGGCAGCACCTCCATGAAGCAGCTGCAGGTGGGGACGGAGCTTTTACTCTGCTGCCCTGTTCTCAGCCCAGCTCCTCGGCTCCCGGGGGACGCGCGGCAGCGGCAGGATGCGTACGTGGGCTGGGCTGTTTCTGGTCCCTTTCTGCCTCCGCAAAAATCCGCTCGCGGTTTTTAAACTAGACGAGAAGTGTGGATAACGAATACCAGTTTCCAAATTCACCTTTAGCCAACTCATGCATAATTCCTGCTCTACTGATGTCTGGTCCAACCACTTTTAATTTCAAGCATACGCTAAAAGAAATCCTCGGGGAATGGCTTACAAATCCTAGGCACAAGACCTGAAATACATCACAGCATTTCTACCCACTTAAAAAAATCCAGCCACGGCTGACTCAGCTCTTCTCTCTCTGCGGGAGATAAATTGAATTTCATGGAGCTTACTGCAGGGCAGGTCTTAAGTGTGGATCTGTCCCCTCCCTGGCCAGAGATCCCTGAGAGGTGCTGCCAAGAGCAAGCTCTGCCCCTCACCGACGCTCCCCCTGCCCAGGCTCTGAACGTGCCCCCACACCGCAGAGGGCTGGGGACGCTGCACTCCCAGAGGGATGGGCAGAGCCGGAGCTGTGCCCGGGGAAGGGCTCTGGGACCCACTGCAAACGCTGCGACAGCGAAACGAAACGAGGACCGCTCGCCAGTTCCTGCACGGACAGATGCCATCGCTCACAGCCCACGTTCAGGGCATCAGCTCCCAAGACGAAGGGACCAATACAACAGCTGCGCTGCTTCGCAGCCTCACCGTTACCTTCACAGATGCTTTGAGACAACTTTACTCAAAGCTCAAAATGCCACATGTAGCGTACATTATCTGTGAAGTGTGTGCAGCAGAAACCTCATTCTACCCGACGGTGTGCGAAGGATCCCCCATGCTTAAGCCAACATCTGGATCACGACCTGTAGCTCCCACCCGCGCTGACGGCACCGTGGGAGCCCAGTCCCGTCCTGCCGCTCCACCGGGCACTGCTCAGGGCAGGGGTGCAGCTTCTGCACTTCACTTGTCTTATTTTATTTGAGTTGGTTTTATGAAGTGAGGAAGACCGTGTAGAAAGCTACTAAAGTGGATGAGTAATAGTAGGGTGAGATCTCTCCAATTATCACTTCACCAGCTAGGAAAGGAGGGCTGCTTCATTTTGTTTGCTTTACAGCCTTGTATTTTACCCCTGACAAACGCCAAACCGCCGCAGACTGCGAAGGTGAAAGCACGGCCCATGGCACGGGAGGGAGCAGTTATGGAAGTTTCACCCGCGGCAGACCCAGCGCTGTGCGTCCCTCTGCTAACGCCGAGGTCTGCGTCTCACCCCGCTCCGGGATGCAATGCACGGGCAGGAAACTGCAGGGTGCCTGCTCAGCATTAATAAGGATTCAATTAGGTTTAAACAGGCTGTCTCTTGCCAGGGACACTCTTTATGACATCCTACGTGGAGAAAACTAAACATTTTCTAAGTAAGCGCCCCTCCACCCCACAGCCTTTGGGATCCGCTCGTCGCCTCGCAGGGTGCAGCCCATCAGCGTTGCAGCCGTGCCGGGGCCCCGGTGCTGCTGGGCTGCACAGTGAGCACCCTGCCTGCCTGCGCCGCTTCCTCCTCTGACCGTCTGCCCATGCAGACTGCAAAGCCTGCGAGATGAGAAACAGCCCAATTCCCTTTCCATTGCGGGTACACCCCTGCCAGGCACCCCATGATGCTGCCTGGCCCAGGCAGCCCAAGCCTCGGTGCAAAGAGAAGAGGTTGGGGATGCAGGACAACACTGCCCGGAACACAGTAGGCAAAGCCCATCCCTTCTGCAGAGACTCTGACCCTGCCACCCCTCTCATGCCTCTGGGCAGCCAGCGAGGAGGAGAGGGGGCCCGGGAGGAAGGGCTGGGCTCTCCCAGCATTTGCTATCCACAGTAACCCACCCAAGGCTTTTCCTCCCTGTGCCATGAAAGCCTCTAGCAAACGCTCTGGCAAAACTCCCACCCTTCACTGCAGACACGGGCCCCTGAGCAAGAAAAACGTGCAGGAAAGGGGAGTTTGCTGCAACTCGGCACGGCTGGAGCGTTCCTCATCACAGAAAAGCAAAGCGAAGCAGAAAAGGCGAGGTGTTGCAGGGCCAACGGCACCGGGTGGGCAGGGGAGATGCTCTCTGCACAGCCGGGAGGCTGCGATCACCGAACACCCCGCCATCCCCCCGCGCCTTGCCCCAGGAACCAGCAGAGCGGCAGAGGTTCGTTTGCTGACGAGTCAGGTGGGAGCCCTCGAGATTGCAGGTCTGAAATACAGCAAAAGGCAGAGACGCTGCTTCCTCCCAGGGCAGCATCTGAAAACCAGAAGTTTCAACCAGCCTGAATCAGGTGGAAAACCAAGAGCCGGCTGCGTGGAGCCCCGAGGGAGGTTTAAAAAGCTGTGCTTCCCTTCTCCACCTGAAATAAAGGGAGAATCGAGAAGCAATAAAGGCACGTTAGGAGAGCTGGAGCCAGGCTGTCAGCTCCCGTCTACGGGAGGACGGATGTGCGCGGGCGGCAGGAGACAGCAGGTTTTCCCAGCGCACGGAACAGCTGGAACAGGGTAAAAGCAGCGCGCACGGTGTAAGCGAGCCGTGCCCTCCGCTGCGGAGCCCCTGCCAGGGCAGCCGGGACTGTGTGGCAGCTCCTCGTCGGTCTTTGACATCCCCAGACTCGGCATTTCTGTTGAGTTGGGTCAGTCTGTCCAAGGAAGACCTGTCCCTGGAAGCAGTTTTTTGCCCCTTCTCCCACCTCGCAAACTTGTGCAGAGTTTTTCTTTTAAGCTTTCCGGGCCAGTTCTCGCTGGGGGTGCAGAGGGGCCATCGGCCACCTCCGCCGGGGACAGCACAGACACGAGCGTGTGAAACCAAGGAGGCTTCTACTTCATATTCTACTCTGTCTGCAACCTTAGTGTTGACAGGAGCAGCCAGTGCCAAGTATAGAAAACGGTAGATCAGCAACACCACATCCTTTAGGAAAAACCTTTGCTCATAAATCAGTGGCTTTCTGCAAGAACCGTGCTCCAGGCAGAGAGAAAATAACAGCAGCACAGTCCTGGGGTGGAGGAGAGGGGAAAGAGGGCAAAGGAGTAGAAAGCAAAGTCAGCAAGGGCAAAGCGACACAGCAAAAGAAGTCGGGCACTAACGCTGCGCAGTTTTCTCCTGCAGTCGCTCCAGCCCTGGGCTGAGCTCCCACGCAGCCCTCAGCACATCCCGGCACCCGGGACGGGCAACCAGACCACCGGAGACCCCAGCGCAGCCCCGGGAGGGCTGAGCTTACGCACCCGGGGACAGTGCAAGGAGTCGTCACCCCCACAGCCCGAGCCCCGAGCTGCGGTGGCCCTGAGTTTGCCAGGGGCTGAGCCAGCCCTCATCGGCACCTGGGAAGCTCAGGTGCAGCCACCACTGCCTGTCGGGTGGTTTTTCCGTGTTCAGGACTTTTTCTTGTCTCCCTCCCAGCCCCACGAGACCCAGCTCGGAGCAGAGTTTCTGGCTGTCGCTCGTGGCCCGCGAGTCTGCTGTCGGTGTCCCTGCGCTGCAGAGCTAAGTAGTCCATGCAAACGTAGGGCTACGGGAGGGGAGAGGACATACCTTCCTGCGGAGCGTTCGTGTCCCACACAGACCACATCTGCACAAAGAAAAAGGGAGTCCAGCACACTATGAAAGCTAACACTATGATGAAGGTCATTTTGACTGTCCGGATCTTGGCTTTGGAGATGAGCCTGGTGCTGCTGACCCTGGCAAATGCTGTCCCACTGCGGGAGCCGGAGCTCAGACCCACGTTGGGCCCGTGGGCTGTCTTAAGCTTCACGTTCTGCCAGATTTTGAAGCTGATTAAGCCATAGCAGATGCTTAGGATCAACACGGGGATGATGTAGACCATGAGGGTTATCCAGGTGACATAGGCTTTAGGTCCCCAGGGCTGGATGAAATCTGCCCAGCAGTCGTAAACCCCATTCCCCACATCCCTCAGAGAAAATATGTGGATCTGTGGGATGCTGACCAGCAGGCACAGCAGCCAGGTGAGGAGGACAGAGACCCGGTCCGCTCTCCTGTGCAGAGACCTTAGCGGCTGACAGATGGCCAAGCAGCGGTCCAGGGACATCAGCAAGAGCATGTAGGTGGAAGCAAACATCCCCACTACCTGCAAGTACTTGATCAACCGGCAAAGGAAATCCGGCCCGTAAAACCTGAAGGTGATGTCCCAGATGAGCTGGGGCAGCACCTGGAAGATGGCCACGACCAGGTCAGCGATGCTCAAGTGCTTCATGAAGAAGTACATGCGGGAGTGCTTCTGCCGGGTGGTGTGGATGGCCAGCAGCACGCACAGGTTGCCGGTCAGGGCCAGGAACAGGATGAGGCAGAGGACGGTCACCTCCACCTTGGCCATGTCCTCGTTCCTCTT